CGGCCCGCTGCCGCTGTGGCAGGTTTCTGTACCGGCGCGGTGCGGCTTCTGCTCCCAACTTACTGCTGTTTGTTAACTGGCGGCGGTGGTATTAATTGCCCGCTGCCTGCCAGTCCATAAAAAGCAGGTGAAATACCTCCTTCCAACTCTTTGGGGTTGGGGTGTGGGGGTTTGGTTGGTTTGTTTGGGTTTTTTTTCTTTCAAAAGACAAACTGTAAGAAGTAAATGAACTCAAAAAATAGCCTTACAACCCCCAGAAAACTTTGGGACAAAGTTACCGGGAAATGCTGGGTTATCCTGCAGTGAAAGTAATGTGAAAACTCAGTCATGCCAGCATGTCTTGCCCTCCTTCCCATACACCCTTCATAGAGGTGCTCAGCGCGCTCACGACTAACACATCCAGCCCTTTTTCAGCTCCCCTCTGAAAATAAGTAGCCAACGATGGGCATGCAACTAACCCGCTGCGTGCTAAAAAAAAATAACCCCGAGAGCCAGAATCCATTTTTGAAGCCGGGGAGGGACGGGGGCAGATAGCTCAAGTTCATGCAGAAGCAGCACCTCAGAGTAAAATCCACTGGGTCTCACCCGGCCCCCCTCCGCAGCTCAGCACCCGCACCCCGAGCCGCAGAGCTCACCCCCTACACCTCTATTTTATTGGCGATATTTTTTATGAAAGCCTTGTGCAGCAAATACAAGTCAAATGGCTCTAATTTGTAGTGCTACAAACTGTAACATGCTCAGACGTGTAACTGCCTGACAGACTACACAGAAATCTGGCTTAGGCTCCAACCTCTGAAACAAATGCAAATATCCAGAAACATTCTGCTATTGCTCCAAAATTAAAATGCAAGTAAAACAAACCTACTGCCGGATTTTTCATACAAATACTTCTTTTTAAAAAATAAATCACTACAAATTTATTATTTATTTCAGACCATAAACAACACAGAGGAAAGAAACACATATACGTTTTCCTTTCTTAAAAAAAAAAAAGAAGTATCGGTAAGAAAAGCACATACACTGCTCTTTTTTTTAACTTTATTTTTTAATACCTTGTCCCTTAAATCAGCCTACAAGCCAATATCTTTATCTAGAGAAAACACAATTGGAAAGCCTTTTTATGTTGTACTGTTTTCCAGACACTTACAGGAGGTTTTTAAAGACAATTCACAGCCACGTTACTCCAAACGGCACAAACACAATTATTTAGGATTTATTCCTTACTGTGGCAATTTTTACTTTGGTACATTTTTCAAAATTTCCTGGGAAAACACTATCAATTCCCATCTAGCTTAGCGCACCTACACTGTGACCTCTTTCTCTACATTTTCTCTTTACAAATCAACCACAAACATCTTAGAAGTATTTTACATATATAGAATAAACTCTCAAAAAGGACAATACCACAAGAGAAATGCTCAAAAACAAACTGAAGGTGTAAATGACCTCCTCCCATGTTCCAGACGTACCTACAAAATCCCTGCTCACTGGTACAGGATTATACATTCCATTATGAGTTCGGCCTTTTTATATTTTGTACTATTTTAACACCCCAAATTTATAGATTTTTAAAATTGGCATGTTAAAAGGGCTTTATTTAAGGATTTCAATGAAAATAGTGTTATGTTTTGTCATATTACCATAATCCTTCTTTTTAAATCACTTAGAATTTCAGTATAACCTAATTAAGTAATTTTAAGTAAGTCTTAACCCAAATACATAGATCTAATAAAAATGTATTTTGCAAACAGGGAAAATGGACTTCTAAAATGGATTCCTCAGGTATGAACAAAGATGCTGAAACATTTTCTCCCCAGAAACTTTTGAGATCTGAACTGTTTCACAGCACTTAGATTTAAAAAACAAAATACTTGCAAGTAAACAAATTTCACCAAATATCAAGCATAATGTTTCATTCCAATTGTATTTGTTTATTCCTTTTATATTTAACAGAAATCTTTCCATTTTCCTTGCCACAAAGGAGGGAGACTAGGGGAAGAAAAATACTGCAAAATCGTAACTAAATATCTTCACGTATTGTTTATTTCAAAGCTCTTCTAACAGCAGTTTATACTGTTTTTAGATATTGTATATTATTTTGCCAGTGGAAATATTACTGTTTTTAGATTTTTGCATTTTAAAAGGCTACAGAACAACATTATAGATTTTACAGACTTCTAACCATTTTTAATCTCTCTCTTTTTTAAATGCTACAAACATCCCATTTGGTAAATGAAATTTACATTTCTCTCCTGTCTAAATTATCAGAGTTGAAACAACAATTCAAAACAGAAAGAACAAGTGATGTACCGTAATACAACAGCAAGTCCAACACTTTAACACAGCTCCTCTCTCTCTATTGGTGTATAATAAGATTACACAAAGTATAAAATATCTCAGAAATATAGCCTCCTTCCTGATCAGAAAATTTTACTTATTGACTAATTTGACCTCGAGGAACTGCATTTTCTCAAAAAGCATCCTATCTATAGCTTTATGCCATTTACTGACTCTTGCTTAATTAACCAGCATGCTTTAAAAACAAGTATCACTCCTTCAACTTAATCAAAACAGACTATTTTTAATTGCTATCACATCAAATATATTTGTCAATACAACAAAGCCACGTTCAATTAGAAAGAACTAATTTTTTTAGCCCTGTCTTGGACCAACCACAAATTACAGCATCCACTTCCAATTTATTTGCTATTCTAATATGAGGGGAACTGAAACACACACCACAGCTCACAAATACATTTATCTTTCTATAAAATCCTATCATTTGCATCTTTTAATGGGAAAATCCAGTATACCACTGTCAGCACTGCTCTTCTCCTGCAACCGACCGGACTTCACAAGGACTTGGCATTAACTTCCCTCCCTCACAACACTTTGCCTCCTCACCTCTCTCAAAATAAAACAAAAATATTTGGGTTTGTCTGAAATGTCAATAAACTCCCAAACCGAAAAGGCCAAAAGGTCAGGTATTATTTCATCCGAACAGAAAAGCTATTTTCTCTCTATGTCGAAAGCCGTCAGTAACAGCACGTTACCTGAGAGGTGATGCTTGCTTCCCTTGGACGGCCGTCCTTCTGTCCGGAACAGGGGCTACGCCGCACTCCCTATAACATAAGAGAGAATAGATTAAAATTATTATATGCTTAGACCCCTTTCTGCCCATTCGAATTATCTGGCCCTCACAAGGCTTTGTATCTCTTGGTCTGAAAAGCATTTTTAAAACTCCTATTACATTCTAATTAGAGCCCTCAAAATTGTTTTTGATAAGTCAGGTACACATGTCAAAAATTAGCTCCATACGTGGTCATCAAAGTACCAGATGCTCCAGATCTGGTTTTTCAGTTCTGAGAGGCCTGTATACTGCTGCATGCTCCATCTCATTAGCAACATTTAATCTGCAAATGGCATGATCTTATATGAAAAGAGAAAAAAATAATTTATTTTACATATATTGAAACCTAATTTTTTTTTTTAAAAGCCATTTACATGAGGGACAGAGTCCTGAGAGATCCCTTCCCATGGCAACTTTTCCCTCCCCTGTTTTAAAAGCTGAATGCCTTCTCAGATAAATAGGGTGTTTGCTTTACCCGTTTTTCTGTGATTTGTGTTATTGTGTACTTATTTGTGATGCTGCAGAATTTACACAGGCCTGTAGTTTTGAGACTTCTATCTCCTCCCTTCACCTGCGAGGAAGATACCAGCTAAAATCACTGTCTATACACCGTTTTTATGCCCTTTTTCCCTCTACACTTTTTCAAACACATGTGAGAGGAAAAAAAGTTAAGGTAATGAGTACAAATTCATGGTGTACTACATTTCCAAAAAACCCCTTGTTTCAGTTTGTCATTTAATAAGCATTATCAATGTAAGTCATGGTCAGAAAGCCTCAGCACTGTGGAGTGTAGTATTTATGACTAAACTGCCTTTTTTTCCCTCTCCCTCCCCCAAAGAAAAAAAAAAGGATCTGCCTGTGTTGAAATCTTTTCCTCCATCTTTTACCCTTCTCCTTCCACATATTTTACCCTCCTCATACTGCTTAGATCCTAGCAGACTGTTGCCGCACATGTATTTTTCCACCTAATTTCCTAGACATTGACAAATGTGAATCAAGGAAGAATTTTGCACAATGTTAACTTACCTAAACCATTTCTTTCCTCCATTCTCTCTTTTTCTCTGTGGCACCCTATGCTTTTTTTTACCCTCTGCTGTTGCTTTGTTTGCTCTTTGCCCACTTTTCTGTACTTTTGTCTCCTGCTGATCCTATTAGACCAGGCAGGAAGAACTGAATGTCTCTCTCCCATTTGCTACACTGTCTCTCATTTTTTAGTGTTTTACAGATTAAACATTTTCTACCGTCATTTTAATATATTTTTAAAGATACTTTTTTTCTCCTTCTCTAGGAACTTGCTGATGACAGTCACCCATACTTTTGCAAAGCAAGGTTAGCCCTGTCCTGCTCCTGTACATGCTGCTGTCAGCATACTAAGTGTAAAGGTAAGTGTAAAGCCTCTGATGCAAAGCATGAAAAAGGAAAAGGGGGTAACATGTAGAGATGCCCCTTAACATCATAAAGAAAAAAATAGACATTTTTAACTGATTCTCAATTTTTAAAGAGATACCATCAAGAGCAAACACTTATCTTAGGGGAAATCTTTATCCAGATCACTAGCAATACTTTTCTACACTAATAATATTAAAGAAAATTTTAAAATTCAAATTTACTGTTCAGCATCACCTGTTTAGGATTTACTTTTCTGCATTTCA